ACTCTGGATAGAGTGCACCGGACCCTCCGTACAAAGCCAGTACAAGTTGATTTGCCACCAAGGGCGTTTGTGGTTAAATGCCACTACTTCACGGAAAAAGAATTACTTCTCAAAAGGGCAGCAGAGACTGGGTTGATAACATCCGCTGATGGCGATACTATCCGAGTCCTGCCGGACTTCACCCAAGCTGTGAGTAAACAACGCGCTGCTTTTACTGAAGTAAGGAAACTGCTCCGCAGCTGCGACGGAGTCCGCTACGGACTCAGGTATCCAGCAACGTTAAGGATTACAACGGCGGATGGGCAAGAAACGACCTTCAAAGATCCAAAGCGTGCGAAGGAGTTTGTTCTGAAGGAGCTACTGAGCGCAGAATCGTCCCGCTGAACATAACTTTTCACAATGATGAGCTCGAAGAGAGCGTGTGCTGGAGTTATTTGAATCGGATGGCGCCATTACAAGACGATAACGAACATTAGTGCTCAACAATTGAATTTTACAGGTAATGCTTGTTTTATAATACGTTTTTTTTAAAGTAAACAATCTGTAATAACGTCTAATTCTAAGTTCTACCTTTCTTTATACCTGCATTTTCTTTAATGGAGCCTTGTGATGCTATATTTGGAATACGTGCCATTATTGCTGTAGAAAATACAACGTTACTTAAATTACAGTTAATTTGGGTTCTGGTGTGGACTAACGTGGTAAGCATTATATTGGTTTGTATAGTATGGAGATATACAGTGCGAACCGGAAGGAAAGCGGTCTCCTTTTGAGGCTATTTTTTTTCTTTCTTATTTTCTTGTTTTCTTGTTGTTCTTTTATTGGTGCTTTGTTAACTTTGTGTTCATCACCCCCTATTCCCTCTGCCCTCCCTGCCCTCTTTTCACCTCCCTATTCCCCCTATGGACTACATGTTGGAAGTCTCCTTGGCTGAGTCCTGCCTATGTCCTCTGCAAATAATAAAGCACTAACCAACACCACTTTGGTGTGCTGGAATGTCAGGGGTTTAAACCATCCAGTCAAACGTAACAAAGTATTCTCTCATCTTCATAACTTAGGAAGCCGCATTGTTTATTTACAAGAAACCAATTTGCTAAATAAAGATCAGTGTAGACTTCGCAGAGGAGGCTTCACACAGTTTTTTTACTCGGATTTCAACAGTAAGAGCAGAGGAGCGGCTATCTTAATACATAAAGATGTACAGTATGAAGAGTCAAAAACAATTAGGGACAAAAATGGCAGGTATGTCATCACACAAGGCAAATTATTTAATAGGCCTGTGGTTCTTGCAAATGTTTATGCACCTAACTGGGATAATGTGGATTTCTTTAGCAATCTTTTTTCTCTCTTACCAGATCTTGAGTCTCACAATTTAATACTAGCTGGGGACCTAAATTGCAC